CCCNCCCCCCCCCCCCCCACGTGCTGGCGACTACTGACCTTGGTAGCCGATGAGGTCGACCCGTCCGCCGTGTTTGGCAATACTCATGGCATGATACTGCATGCGCGGGCTCCTCCCGATGTCGCCTAGGACCAGAACCTGCACCGAGACATTTGGCTTTGACTCCAGCACCGTTTGCGGGGACCGCCTGAATCTCGACGGCAGCAAGACGAAGAGCGCGACGCAAGAGGCGATGGCGCAGAGCGCGACGCACGAGGCGATGGCGCAGAGGAGAATAAAGGGTAGCAGCATCTCGACCTGATGCTGGCTGGGTGCTGCCCTTGGTCGCTGCGAATTGAAATATTACCGTTTCGAGAACCAGAAAGATGCAGAGAGGAGCGAACGGCAAGCGAAATGAACCTTAGCACGGCAGATATACTGCATGCGGGTCGCGGCGGTTAAATGCAGTGGCCGGTGCCGTCATTGAGGTTTGACGGAGGATCTGGGGATTTAAATGCTGTTCTTTGAGCAGGGCGCTGGTGGAAAATTGCCCGGAAAATTGTTTGCTGCTGACACCACAAAAGGAGACAAGACAACACATCTGCCCACGAGACTCAATTCTGCACGAGACCTTCTGTTCTGCTCGTCTATTGGAGCTCGATGCTTGTCCACAGCATCTCGGAGCACGTTCCGGGGCGGGCTTCGTCCCAGCTCGAGACCGGACGAACGCTTCGCGCCGTTGTGACGTACTTGGAGGCAGCGCGGCGGCTGGAGCCGATCCAAGGCGCTCCAGGGCCAATGCCCAATGTGGTGATGTCAGCAATTGGCGACCGGGGTGGACGACTGGGGGGGGGCTGGGACGACGTCGCACAATTTGTCTGAAGCAGCTCGAGAGTTAGTAACTGTTAGGCAAAGTGTTGGGCTTGTCGATGGCGTGTCTAACGTGGATTACCAGGCCGGGGTCTGCAGTCCCGTGATGCATGCATCGGCAAGGGGGCAGGCCACCAAAATACCAGGCCAATCAGGGCGGCCAGATGCCCCACACACTCCCCATCTTTACGTCTCTTTCAGGGGCGATGGCCCGAATCGGGAAGGCGACCAAGCCAGAAAATGCGGCTGCCAGGCGCGAGCCAACAAAGGATCTGGAGAAGGAGCGTTGGCGTGCGTGGCACATCAGATTGGATGAACCGGGCAATTCTTTTGATCGCGTCTGCGGCTTGAACTCGTCGCCATCCATCTCGATTATCTCCCCGGGCTGTTCGTTAGGTACTGGTACACTCTAGCATCAATCCAAAGCGGCCGTGGCAGAGCCCGCTAGTTCGTCTTCTCTCCAAACAACACCAACTCGCGTCTCGCCACCGACCCGCGTCTCGGCTGGTTATCCCTTGAGTCCACCCTGGCCTGGTTGAGGCACTAACCCCCTGATCCGCTCCCGCTTGTCTTGGGCGGGAGAAGCCACGGGCTCATCAAGAAGGGGCGGGGTTTGGAGATCCACTCCTGCTTGGGCAGCCGACAAATGCAACAGCACCAGTACTGATAGCTGCGACGCCGCCGCCAAGTTCCGAAGGCCAATTTCGACCTTGGGGCCTACTCACTCCTCTTGGCCCTCTCTACCGCAAACGCTCCCGCCTTTCTCTCTCGACCGACCTTTGATGATACAAAGAAGGACACTCGCCCGGACCTGGTAGTCCGCCTGCAGTCTCCAAGCTCCACTGGGCAATTGGTGCATCGTGTCCCTCCACATCCGCGCGTCTCGCACGCACCCGCCTGTTCTGCCACCGCTGGCACGTCGACGAGCCGAAGTCCAGATGGCCTCGTACGCGCTGCCGACCGCCATTCCGCACTCGCACCATGGGGCAGGCCATATGCACACCCATTCGCATTCGCCGCCGACTTTCGGCCATCTGACCCAGCAGGCTACACGCCGCGCAGACCGGTCGAGCTTGTCTGGCAACACCCACAGCCATAGCCATGATACCGAGCACTCCCACTCCCACGACCATTCACACGATCACGACCACGATCACTCTCACGACCACGACCATTCGCATAGCCACAGCCATGGCCCCGACAGCAGCAGCCACTCGCACCTGTACTCATACTCGCTCGACTCCAGCCGCTACAGCGACCTTAACTCGTCGGGCCACCAAGCCAATTCGGGCCATCTGAGACCGAAAGTCCCCGCGGCGCTCGATGGCCACAATTGGAAGTCGGCCATGACGCCTGGTGGAAAGCACGTCGTTACGCCGAGCCAGTCGTCGTTTGACATCCCATACGATGCCCCCGCGCAGCATCGAGACCATGAGCCCCCCGCCGACCGGTCATGGGTCACAAATTTTCTGCTGCCGCGGATGGCGCGGTGGCCGTTGATCCATGCTGTCCTGGTAGAGAAGGACTCGAGGAGGATATTCTACTTTATGAGGTTCGCATACCCCTTGATGAAACCTTGACGGCCGCCGCCGTTGACATTACAGGTGGAGCTGACAAGAGCCCCCCCGCAGTATCAACTTCTCTTTCATGATGGTTCAGGCCTTCTACGGCTACGCAACCGACTCTCTGGGTCTTCTTAGCGACAGTATACACATGCTTTTCGACTGCGTAGCCCTTGCGGTCGGACTTTTCGCTTCCGTGGCCAGCAAGTGGGCGCCCAACGAGATGTTTCCTTACGGGTTTGGAAAGATCGAGACGCTGAGTGGGTTTGCAAATGGCGTATTCTTAATGTGAGTTCAGAGCAGCACATGGTGGGAGAAAAGGTCAAACTCTAACAGGCCCGCAGACTTATTAGCGTCGAGATCATGGTGGAGGCTTTCGAGAGGATTTTGGAGGGGCGTGAGACGAAGCGCTTGACGGAACTTTTCATCGTCAGCACGGCAGGGCTGCTCGTCAACCTCATTGGGTTGATGGCTTTCGGACACCATCATCACCACGGGGACGACCACTCCCACGGGCATTCACACAGCCATTCTCATAGCCACTCGCACGACCATGGACACGACCATGGACACGACCACGACCACGGGCACGATCATGGGCATGACAAGTCGCACTCGCACTCGCACGGCGATGCCCACGACAACGAGAACATGATGGGCATCTACCTGCACGTGCTTGCGGATACGCTGGGTAGCGCCGCCGTCATCGTTTCGACGGTGTTGACGCACTTTTGGAACTGGGCGGGCTGGGACCCGCTGGCTTCGTTCCTGATCGCCGTGCTGATTCTGGGCTCGGCGATGCCGCTGGTACGGTCTTCGGCGAGGCGACTGCTGCTGACGGTGCCGGATCGGGTTGAGTACGCGCTTAGGGACACGCTTTCGGGAATAACGGGTCTCCGGGGCGTGGCAAACTACTCGGTGCCAAAATTCTGGCTCGACGACCGCAGCGGAAGCGATGGGCCGACGGTCGGGCCTGGAGGCGACCGATTGTTGGGTGTGATGCACGTCGTGGCGGTCAGGGGCGCAGACATGGGAGACGTGCGAGACCGCGTTAGGACGTATCTCGCGGCTAAAGGTATCGACATTACGGTACAGGTTGAGCGCGAGGGCGAGTCGAGCTGCTGGTGTGGCGTCGGCAGGCACCCGCTTGCGATGGGTCACAGGGCGAGCGCCAGCGTGATTTAGGTCGGACGAGATGGATCGATGCTGAGGTCAACGAAGCTTGGCCGGCTCCGACTCGAGAAGTTCGAGACATTCACCGAATGCGGCTGGATCGTGTGTCGCGGTGATGCCGTGCAGGTGGGTGGATCGGGTTTGCATGTGATTGTGATGTCCATGCTCCCGTAAATCTCATGATAGGTGGCTAGCTTCGCCTTGGAGTTTGGGGGAAAGATGGCGTTTATTGGACAGGACGAACGTCGGTTTCTTTTGTAATTCTGTCATGGCACACGGCTCGCATTTTCCTGTAATGTTCTTCTCCATGTATCACCAGGTAAGAAGGATGGGTGAGTGTCTTTTTCGAGACGCGACAAGTATCATAGAGGCATAGCTACACTACATATATAAACCGGAGATACCCAAGAACACGCATGCATTTCAGTGGGCGCGGATCTGCGCGATGGACCTATGGAGGTCTCAAGTACCTCTATGCAGGTTGGGGAAGGCCGGCTGATGCTAGTGCGTCTGCAAAATACCCGGGCCGATGCAAGATCTACCAACCAGAGGGAGCACGAGTTTGTCTTGGGGGTTTGCTGACCTATCCATAGTACGCACTATAAAGTAAATGTTCCGTTTTACCCTTTCAACCTCCGTCCGTCCGGCATGCAACTCACGCTGCCACTGCAGGGACTCGGGTACCCCTCGTCGAGCCCACAGCCCATGTCTGTGCACTCTCCGAGGCCGCACGGTGGCAGGGCTGATGCCGCGCATGCGCGCACGAGCGCTTACCGAGGCGCGGGGCACCGGGGCTGCTCAGCTGGACACGGCAACGGCCCACGGGACCCCCATCCTTCATACAGAGCTATAAGATATTTTTTCGTTGTTGTGCTACCGGGGGGGTGGCTATCGGCGGGGGTCAGGGTCAGATGTAGAGTTTGCTGTCGCAGCCGAAGTCCTGAGATATTGGAGCCTGTGTGTCGTTGTTCTTTGTTGGAGCCACGTTTTTGGGGCTCGCGGCAGACAGCACGGTGCTAAGGAGAGCCCTCTTTTTTTCTTTTTTTTGCAGGGTCCGGGCCTGCGGGATTTGGATGGCTCAATGACACCAGACCGTCCGGATGGATGATTGCGACTGTCTTTGGGTGCCGGCTCGACTGGGAGCAACTGTCCTGCTGGCTCAGCTCTCGTGGATGCACTCGCTACTCCCGCCTGAATTATCTTCTTCTCGTGATGGGCTGTGTGTGTTGCCATCACCGCCCCCGTATCTGACGGTCGAGTTACTGCATCCATCCGTTTGTGTGCTCAATAATTAGCACGTGCTTGTCGGAGTTTTCGATTCCCAGGCGGAGCAGTCGAGTGGGTTCCAGTTGACAGGCCCCTAGCGGCAAGTCGCGGCGGGACGACAGCGGCTTCCATTGTGCCGAGGTCCGGGCTGCCGCCCTCTGACGTCGTGCCGAGGGGAGGGCTGGGGTGCGTTTGCGCGGGCAGCCATTGGGTTTTATCTTGGACCACCCCAGGACACACCACCGAAGAGGAACGAGGCTATCCAGAAAGCTGTCCAGAAGCCAGACTGCTGATTTACAGCCAAAGAATCGAAGTCTCCAAAACCAATCCCTTGGCGACGACAGCCCGCTCTCAGATCCTGGTGGGGCAGCGGCGGCGCGCAGAGACGACGTCCTAGCGTGGATCCGGCGCACACCACTCGCTGTCTGAGACCTACCCGTTCGCGGCGGCTTGACAACCCTCAGCTTGCATTTTCCTGATCGCAAAACTCCGACGACACGAACTCTCCCTTCCTCTCCGGAAACAGCGACGACCCACGTCCCATTCGAAGCAGATACCAATCAGCGCGAGCCAGCAGTCCTCCCCCACCAACCCCTCGAACCAGAAAGTAAAAAAAAAAGTCCCACGCGCCACGATGTCCTCGCCGGCAAAGGCCGCCCCGGCCGTGCTGCCGGGCAAGGAGGAGGTCAAGGCCGAGGCCAAGGTGGCCGCGTCGACGGGGCTGGCGCAGCTGCGGTCCTTCGCGGCAGGCGGCTTCGGCGGCATCTGCGCCGTTGTCGTCGGCCACCCCTTCGACCTCGTCAAGGTGCGCCTGCAGACGGCCGAGCGCGGCGTCTACTCGTCCGCCGTCGACGTGGTCCGCAAGAGCGTCGCCCGCGACGGCCTGAGGGGCCTGTACGCCGGCGTCAGCGCCCCGCTCGTCGGCGTGACCCCCATGTGTAAGCGCCCGCAGTCCGGACTACTCCTGGGTGTATGGACGGTTTAGGGACGCGTGTAGCTAACACCCCGGTGCTCCCCACACAGTCGCCGTCTCTTTCTGGGGCTACGACCTCGGCAAGACCCTCGTCCGCTCCGCCACCGCCGAAGCCGACGCGCCCCTCTCCATCGCCCAGGTCTCGGCCGCCGGCTTCTTCTCCGCCATCCCCATGACGCTCATCACGGCGCCCTTCGAGCGCGTCAAGGTGATACTGCAGGTCCAGGGCCAGAAGCAGCTGGCGCCCGGCGAGAAGCCGCGGTACAGCGGCGGCGTCGACGTGGTGCGCCAGCTGTACGCCGAGGGCGGCGTCCGCTCCGTCTTCCGCGGCAGCGCCGCCACCCTGGCCCGCGACGGGCCCGGATCCGCCGCCTACTTTGCCGCCTACGAGTACATCAAGCGCCGCCTCACGCCCGTCGACCCCATCACCGGCAAGCCGAGCGGCCAGCTGAGCCTGACGGCCATCACGTGCGCCGGCGCCGCCGCGGGCGTGGCCATGTGGACGCCCGTCTTTCCGATCGACACGGTCAAGAGCAGGCTGCAGACGGCCGAGGGCAACGTCTCCATCGCGGGCGTGGTGCGCGAGCTCTACGGCAAGGGGGGCCTGAGGGCCTTCTTCCCCGGCTTCGGCCCGGCGATTGCCCGGGCCGTGCCCGCCAACGCCGCCACGTTCCTGGGCGTGGAGCTGGCGCACCAGGCCATGAACAAGGTGTTTGGCTGAGGGCTGGATGGGTAGCGGGGGATGAAAAAATAAGTCGATGTGGGTTTCCTGTGTTTGCGATATTGGGACTTTTGGATACCTGTAAGCGAGGACTTGTATAAGAGGCTACTTGCATGGCATTTTCACGATAGAAAGCGTTACAATTAAAGCCACTTTAAGCATTTGGAAGTTGGGAGAACGGGATTATGGCTGTGCAAATAACGGAGGTGGTGGCGTCGAGATATATCGAACCACCTGCGTGGGAAAGGGCTTTGGAAAAAACAACGAGTAGTAAAAAAGAAAAACAGCAAAGAAAAAAAAAAGGCATCAAGAAAGGAAAAGCGCAAAAAGCTTACTGCCGCTTCGGGGCGACAGCTACGAAACTCCCACTTGAGACGTTTTCTTCGATCCCCAACCGGGGCTCGAACACCCGAACCCAAGAGGCTATTGCAGCGGAGTACAGGTAGGGTCCCGGTGTCGACTCGACCCATCCTCATAACCGCTACACCAACTTGGCGTCCGTTGGTGTTCGATGACTACAGAGGGCAGGGAGTCGGGCTATATGGTCCGGAAGCGTGCGTGCAGGCAGGTGCGACTGGCGGCAGGGCGGCCGCACGCGTCGCGTCGCGTCTGATCTGGGTGTGCACACACGTCATATTTGGAAGATCAGATGGCTGGTGCATGTTCAGACGGGCGGTGATAGGCTTGGGCCGGGAAGGCTGTGTTTGCTCCATCCGCTGTTCCCATATCTAAGCAAAGCCTTCATCTTCCTCATCCACCCAATACACAAGAAGCTGTTGCCTATGGTGTCGCCCATCCTGCATAAAGCCAGAGTGTTTTTACACGTCCTCCCCTAACCTGGAAGACCGAACAGCCGCGCCCCATCCTCAGTCAATATACTTTCCTCCGCACCGCACACAACGGCTCGCCTGGAACCCAATCTCCCTGATCCTGGCCTCCCGCTCTGCCAGGATCGGGACTATCGCGTCCGTTTTAAGGCGGCGCACACCGCAAACGCCGCAGACCCTCGAGGTGCCGTGCTCGAGGACTGGATATCCCGTCAGGATACAAGAATCTGGATATCGGGTCAGTCTCTAAAGTCAAGCAGGAGAAGCTATACTTCCGGGAAACCATAGCAGTCGGCCGGGGGCGAGGCTAACATACCAAAAAAGTGTTTCCCGGGACAGGCAAAGTAGCGCCCAGTGCGCTCCAAAGCGCCCTTGCAGTATGGGCACTCGGCGCCCGCCACCTTATCCTTTAGTAACCCCCTCATCTCGGCCACCGATCCTACTCCTCCCTCCTCGTCGACATCAGCTGGCGCCGTCACGCCCGGCACCGCCGGCCCGCGCCCGTACAGGCACTCAAAGGCGCGCGCCTCGGTCGAGAGCCGCGCGAGCCTTGGGTCCTCCTCCTGCTCCTCGCTACCGCCGCCGACGCTGCCGCCGCCTGGCCGGAAGTCGAACGAGACGGTGCTGCGGGCCTGGTGCCAGGCGCCGCGCTCGGCCACGGCCGCCGCCGTCTTGGCCCACACGGCCGCGCTGCAGCCGCCGCCGGGCGACAGGGCCACGCCGAAGAGCCGCGCGCGCCAAATGTGCACGTTGTCCGACGTCTCGACCTGCCGCAGCGCGCCGGGCTTGCGGGCCTGCTTGGCGGTGGCTTGGGCTGCGGTGTCGTCGGGGGTGCTAGTCTCGTCGGCTCCGGGCTGGCGTTGGAGCGGCGGGCCGCTGTTTGTCTGTGATTCGCCGTTGCTCGGTCTGCTGGGCTCCTTTGAGCTGCCAGAGTCGTCGCTGTCGCCGCTGTCCTCCTCGTCGTCTGCGTCTAGATCCATCTTGTCACCATGCTGATTCCGGGCGGCCTCCCGGTTGGAGTCCCACTCATCGTCCTCGTCCTCGTCTACGTCAGCGTCATCTAAATCATCGTCGTCATCGTCGTCGTCATTTCCTCCGTCGCCCTCGTCATCGTCGTCGTCTCCTACGATCCCTAGCGCCTTGACACCTGCTCGAGCGAGCATTTCCTTCGGCATGGATATCTCGAGGCGGCGGGAGATGTCTACAGCCCATCTCGGCCGCGGATTCCTTTCATTGGACGAGTAGTCGGCGAGCGCGGCGTTGGTCTGGTACCAATCCGTGCTGCCATGCGACGCCGACATGCGGACCAGGGTGTACAGAGGAGCATCGGTCGTTTTGAGGAGGCTAGGAGGGTGTATCACCAAGTCTGGAAAAAGAGTCTGGATGAGTATGCTATATAGTAAAGATGGGCAAGGGTTTGGAAATCCTACCTTGAATTGGGTTGTTTGACCTCTCCTCGGGCGCAGGATACGTGGTGTTGCACTGCTTCAAAGGGTGGGATTCGATAGGCACGGCGGTGGCTGACATCTTGACCTTGAATATTTTGGGCGTGAAAGGAGTAGCAACGATGGCACGGCAGACCTTGTGGCCGTCAATGTTCCAGATCTGAGACGATTAACAGGGTTAGAAATCTCCTCCAATATGTGTCGTCGGCGTGATACACTTACCGCGTCCTCAAATGTCAAAAAGGCATCCGTCGACATGAACAAGCACTCTCCGTGCACGTCGGCCTCGGCGGCCTGGACGAAGCCCTGCCCGTCAGACCATTCCTTTTTGATGGTGATCTTGCGGAACCCGACATAGTTACGAGCCAGGAAACCAAGAAGGCACTCCTTGGCCTCGCCCCCCGCGGCCGTCGCCGGTGTCGTCAGGCACGGCCCAAACGCCAGCCCCAGCCCCGTCTTGTACGGCACATAGTCAAGGTCTCGGACGCAGCCGGCGGGGTGCGGGCCCCTCGCATCGAACCGCGCGACCTCCTCGACGCGCCAGCCGGCCGTCAGATCCCCGCGCGCCCAGTCGTCGCCTCCACCATCTATATCTCCCTCCTTTTCGCCCGTCGGCGGCGCGCGCGTCCGCACGGCCAGGACCACGACCTCGTACGCGTCCGTCTGCAGCGCCAGCAGGGCGCGGCCGGGCCACAGCTCGCGGCTCCAGGCGAAGGACCGGAAGGCCTCGCCCCAGGCGCGCTGGGGCGGGACGGCGAGGCGCTCGCCGACGCCCCAGAGAACCTCCCATCCTTCTGCGTCATAGCGGTCGCCGAGGCGGGGCTGCTGCTGTTGTTCTTGCCTGTCGGCCACCACCAGCGGCTCGCCGTAGACGGCCACGTAGCCGGCGGCCGAGTGCACGGCCAGCAGGCAGCGGCCGTTGCGGCCGATGGGCGGCGACCAGGCCAGCGACACGACGTGGTTGAGTGTCGCGCCGACGGACGTGAAGTTGCCGCCGGGCGAGCCCGCGCCCGCCACGCGGAACGGGTTGTTGGGGTCGCGCGTGTCGCTGATCTGCCGCCGGTACTGCTGCCGCTGCTGCTTGAGGAGCTGCTCTTGCTGCTGCTGCCTTTCGCGGTCGCGCTTCTGCCGCTTCATGTCCCTGGCGGTGCCCCCGCCGCGGTTCCCGTCGCTCATGTCGACGTCGTCGTCGTCGTCGTTATCGCCGTCCTGGCGTTCGCCATCCTCCACCTCGGGTGCCGCAGCGCCGCCGCCGCCGCCGCACTCGCCCTCGGACAGGTCCGAGTCGTAGGGGTCGTAGGGGCACTCCAGGCCGGCGGCGTGGAACAGGTGGCGGTTGACGCGCGGGTTGACGCGCGGCAGGGCGATGGGGATGCGGCGCTGGCCGTCCGAGTACTGCGGCTTGAGAGGCACGGGGCCCTGGCTATTAAACCCGGCCCCATTGGCCACTCCGTTTGCCGCTGTCGTGTCATCGTTGCCTTCGCCGCCACCACCGCCCTCTGACGCCGGCTGGGGGTCAGGGTCGGGCCTGGGGAAGTGCGGCACGAAGACGGAGACCGAATCGTCTGCCGCGACGGCCAGCTCGGCGTCAGAGGACCAGGCGATAGCGCGCTTGCCGAACGGCCGGCTGCGGAGCTCGATGGTCTGCAGCTGGAGTGCCTGATTGGGGAATGTCAGCCTCGAGCTGGGCCGAGAGTGAGGATCGCATTGGTCGCACTTTGAAGTCCATTTCCACTGAACTTGCCACATGAAGTTTCTATTGTCGCATTTTTGTACGAAGCCAAATTGGTGATGATTTGGAATGTCGTTCCTCGCCGTGTCTGGGGAAAAAAAAAATTACGGCGTTTGGCCGATGGGTTTAGAATTTGCTGCAGACAGCCACACCCACTACAAGACGGCAGTCCTACAGGAGGTCCTACAGATTGAGTGGATGGGGCAGAGGGTCGGAGAGCCGGATTTTAAAATCGTCGCTTGGCCACGGGCATTCCTAACGGCGATGATCCCCCGACTGCGATAACAAGCAGTCGAACGTTTGGTACCGGCCTGTTCATCCGCCTTTAAATCTCGTCGAGCGCCAATCTTCCGAGGCCTTGTCCGAAGCAATGTCCTCGGGTTCGAGCGCCGACCTTTTGGTGGTGTCGGGCAAGGACCTGGAGGAGCGATGCGTTCGAAACCACGAGCTCCTCACGGAAATAGTCCCTTCGGGCGGGGGCGCCGTTTCGACGATGCCTCCTCCTTGGCGAGCGTGGACAGGCCGAGGGCCCTGAATTTGAGCAGCATGTGGATGCGTCCGTGCAACTTGTCCGTGATGCCCTGCGCGGCGAGCATCTTAGACTCGTCAATGTGAACAAACTAGTGCGATTCTTCGTAGACGAGCAGCAGCGAGGATGCCGCCGCGTTCCGAGCATAACTTGACAAGGTCCCGGCCCAAAAACTCGGGGTTTATCTCCAGCGTCTCAGAGAGTACCATAACATTACAAGTTGTTTTTGCGCAGCCCCCCCTCCTTTCAGCAGCCAAAAACGGCGGGCACAGCAAACGACTAGCATTAGCCGACCACCCGGTTACGGGGCCGCAGCAAGCGCAGTGGTGGAGTTTCGCTTTTTGATATTGCTTAGGTATTGCTTTGGGTCCCGGCGGTACCATCTGCGAGGGAAAGAAAGGATAAAAACCCACCCAGCAACAGGGGGGTTAAAACCGGAGATCACAGGGGTGGCGAAAGGAGGGTCACGTGCTGGCACAAAGTCTCGTGACATCCCCCCAGAGGGGGGGAGAAAAGGGTGGTCCGTTCGAGGATGAGGCCGAGTTCAACAGGCGGGGGCCTCCAGGTCGCCGACGACCCGGCCCGGGCCGCCACGCGGTGTGCTTCACCCATGCCGAGCTCAACGCCGGCAACGTCCTGCTCGACTTCGTCCTGCTGCCGGACGGCACGCGCGGCTAAAGGGTTACCGGCATCGTCGACTGGGAGATTTCGGGATTTTTTCCAAAATACTGGGAGTTTACCAAGTGTTTATTCGAGCAATACAAGCCCACGTTATTGGTGGTCAAGGACCTTTTTCGCGCCGCTTTCCGGGGGCAATGACGAGTATAGCAGGAAGTACTAGCTGGAGCGGAAGTGTTGGTTCCAAGGTGCTGGGTGCCCCGCTGGTTCGGTGGTTTGCTAAAAATATGTAAACGAATACAACTCTAAATTTAAACGTAATAGTTTACCACCTATATCTTCCCTGTCCGCAAAATCATGTGACCAACGTAAAAGCCAGACAGTGGCTTCAAGGACAGCGACGGCGCGGCCCTCGACGGCTCGACGGCCCGACTTCGGGCGTAGGCCGGACCGCCTCGGGGCCACCAAACCTCGGCCGCCGCCGCCAACCCCACCGGGGAGGGACATTACCCTGGTCCGGGGACGCCTGGCGGCAAACATAGGGCTCCCTCCATCTCGGCACAGTTGAGGGACACTACTAGCCGCTCATGGGACCGTCTACGCCCGCCCCGCGTCGCCGCGCCCGCCCACCCAACGCATCCCTGGGCCCCATCCGCCGACAGACCGCGCGCCACGGGCGGCCGCCGGGGGAGGTAACGCAGGACAGGCCCTTCTACCGGGCGCTCGACTTGCGGCGGCGGCGTCGGTGACGTTATCCTGGCGGCAAAAAAAAAAAAAGTTCAAACCCCCTGTTACCCCCTTGTTACTGGGTGGCCTCGCAGATGGTAGAACCAAATGCGCGCGCGGGTACCCCTCATTGGCGTCACGACACGCAGCGGCGGCCTGCGAAAATCATCGTCTTCTGTATCCGACGACGAATCGTCCTCGAACACGTTGTAGAATTTATTAACCACGCTGCTGTCGGATTTGTTGACCGATGGTCCCACCTGGATGTACCAGTGGTTGTTGCCAACCTCTTGGATGAGGATTGGCAGCGAGCACACAGACAGGTTGGAAATGTCGGCCAGGCTAAGAGCCGAGAAGATGGACGCGGCGGCCCTCCGCCGCGTCGAGGTCGTGGCCGACGTTTCCGAGTGGGCGTCTGACGTTGTGAGGAGATGCCTGCGGTACGCCATGGAGCCCTGCAGCACCGTTTCAAGCTCGAGAGCCAGCGAAGCTAGTAGCTGTGAGCCCAAGTCGGGTGCGGCGTGGGCGTGGGCGTGGGCGTCAGGCACGACTGGGTCGTCCGCGGACAGCTGCCCCGCCGCTCGGATGCTGTCCCCGTCGCCGCCCCCATCATAGCCCCCCAGCACTGAGTTGATCTCTGTATCAGGCCTTCCTACTGTGCTCTCGGCCCCCTCGAGTCGGGCCAATTGAACTGACAGCTCTGGGTGGTTGGCGAGGGTTCGCTCAAAGAGGGTATACAGCTGCGCGACTTTGTTTTGGATCTCCACTGTCGAGTTTCTGATCTCCACGGTGGAGCTTTCGATCTTTAAAGTCGAGCCCGCCGTTATGACGCTGAGCATGCAACTGAGCGATCCCTTGTGATCCTGCAGACGAACTAGCAGTCTGGCAATGGCTTTTTCCTTGCGCATCCAACGCGCGCGGTCAAAGATACCCGAGACGCCCCTCTCGCTGTAGACGAGGCCCAGGTCATCGACAAGCGTTTCGAGTTCGGCCTTGGTCAAAACGCAGCCGATTAGCGCGGCGGCGAGGTGCTCAAAAGGGACGAGCTCACGGCGCTCGGGGGGCGCGGCTCCGACGCCGCTAGTAAGGTGATCGCCGAAGAGGTCCTTGAACTGGCGGAGAATGGCCTGGATGTTGCAGAGCTCGGTTAGGACGGCGCGGCAGAGTGGGGGCGCGTCCGCGTTGTTGACGATGGGCGACATGATTTCGACCAGCTTGACGCCGACGCCAAGGAGGCCGGCCACCGAGGCGGCGATGGAGAGTGGGTCGGCCATTGCGGGAGGAGAGCGGGGGCGGGCAAACGGTGAAATATTGCTGCTTGAAGCTGGACGCGGCGTTTCCAGGCAGAGCTATGCCACGGGACGGGCAAGGGACACGCTCGGGCTTAGCTGGCTCGCTGTTTGGTTTTGGATGGTTCTGGAGTTGTATGCAAGACTAGAAGTACAGAAGAGCTTCGAAGGATATATTTCCCTGGGCTTTGATAATGCTTTTGTGGGGCTGCTGTGACGAGAGGATGCCTCATGGTCCGCCCTGTCTGCGGTTTCGGTTTGTCTGCGGTTTCTGTTGGCATCACTGCGTGGTGGAGGCTGTGCCTGCGCTGGGCTCCAGTGGCGCTGCTGTGTCGGCTGCCCATTGGACTCCGGCTAACCTGAACTGCAGCTAGCTGGCCTGGAAAGGGGCAATGACCTGGAGGGAGGCAGAGAAGTACTGCCGTAGCGGCTGACAAGTGGCATAGCATTGAGGACCACGTCATAGTCTATCTCAAGGAGAAGACGAGGGTTTCTTGGGCACCGTTGTGATCTATTGGTCGTGGGTTTTGCTGGCAGCCGCCGGAGAGTCCTGGCTAAAGGCCCGCCAAAATTAAGCATCTCGTAGTTTGTGCTTTCCGAATAACTAAAACTTTGGTAATGAACGGCGAAGGCGCTTGCATTCGTACCGTGTAATTGGTTGCTATTGGAAAAGCCAATAGCCCAGATTTTATATTGCCGTATAGCCTGGAGGCGTCCCTGGACCTTGGCATGTCCTGCCTACCTGCCTGCCTAGGTTCGGTGCCCAACGCTCCTCCTCCAAGCACCTTGTCTACCTAGGTATTTCAATCCCCATGGCCACCTATCGGGTGCCCTGAGTTAATCAGCGGGCATACCTGCCTTCCCGAACCTCTTCTTTTACGGTCTACCCGCGCACGATTTGCACAGTCGCATCGGCCCCCCACACGCCATGAAGGAAAACGACCCTCTCCTGCTCAAGTGGAGGGCACTCGGCCCTTCGGCGCCACCCCACGAGCGCCGCGAGCTCTTTTCGGCCATTGTCCGAGCCGAGATTGACGCGGACGCGCTGACGGGCGATGAGTCGGGCGGACTGGCGCTGTCGATAGAGAGCAAGATAGACGCGCTCACCAGCATGGCCGCACACCCGCCGCCGGACCTTGCCGCGTTCGAACAGGGCTTCCACGACCTGTGGTACGGGGTCATGGCGGCCGGCAAGGCTTGTCAGCGCGAGGGCAAGGGGCGACGTCCTGCGCGCGGCCGCGGTGGGCCCCAAGATCGGCGGCGACGACGGGGCCCAGCACCAGCAGGGGCTGGGGATGGCAGCCAGCAACATCGGGGGCGACGGGCGCGTTGCGGCCCTATCCAACGGCGCCCGCGCCTGGGCCGACATGCCCTTCCTGGCCGAGGACTTTGCCGCCGCCTTTGCGGGGTGGCAGGCCATGCCCCGGCCCCACCGCGCCGGCCTGGCGCCCCTGCTCGGCCGCCTGCTCGCCGTGGGTGTCGGCGACGCCGGGCTCGCTGTGTGCGCCCTGGTCGTGATGCGCAACGCGCTCGAGGAGGCCCCGGTGGCCGGGGCCGGGGCCGTCGCGCCCGACCTCGAGCCCCTCAGACACCTTATCCGCCATGCCGCCGCCCGGCTGCTTCGCCTGAGCGACGACGCGGCGGCTGTCATGCCGGGACCTTTCGCCGCCGAGCTGAGCGGGCTGGGCCGCAGGGCCAGGGACGCCGGGGTGACGGTCCCGCCAGGATCCAGGCTCGGCCCCGAACGGTGGGCGTTTTGGAACGCAAGGCTGTTCGAGATTATCAAAGAGAGCGAGGGCGAGAGTCGGTTCGTCGACGACGCGAGAGCGTCCCTGCTGCGGATGTGGGCGGAGGAGGACATTGCCTGGGGTCCTGAACGGTCGCCGCCTGGTCGCTGGGATGAGCTGAGGCCCCTGTTGCCCGACGTGATGCCTAGTCACGGTTAATGCGAGTCGACTTGCAAGCCTTGGCCGGGCCGGGGGACAGGGCGGGAGAAGGAAGACTGGGAATGGGCCCTGTCAAGGAGCTGAACTGACAGCCGAGCCCTGCATGCAAAGGAACACATGTGTGCCACCGAAAAGGTCGCAGCCAGCAAGAGTGGGACCCACGCGCAACATGGGAGGGGTACTAGAGCCGCATGAGCGGGCTGGCTTTCCACAAGCTATCAGCGTGCGGCCTCCGAGAAGCTCCCAGCCAGGCCCCAGCCGCCGAGAGGCTCCAGGCTCCAGCCGCCAAGAACCTCGATGGCCCTCGATTCGGCCATCGCCTGCCTGGCTGGCTCAGGCCTACTTATAGTCTTTGCCGTCCCGCTCACGTCGCGCCATCTTCCTCCAACGCCGTCATCTGTCTCTTTGGGAATCCAAGCCCGAGCAGCCATGTCATCGCCCCCCGCCTTCCGCCGCTTCCCGGACCTCGCGCCCGAGCTGCGCGCCGCCGTCTGGGACCTCGCAATCGCTGCCCACGTCCAAGACGCCCTCCAGAGCCTGCCCTATCACCTGCGGCCAGACCCCGGCGGGCCCCGCTTCTGGGACAACGACGGCGACCACGCGCGTCTCGTCGACTGCTTCCCCATCCTCGCCACGTGCCGAGAAGCGCGCGCGCTCGCCGTCGGCTACTTCCAGCGCCGCGGCGGACCGGGCCGGCGCTTCTTGTACTTCCCGCGCCGCCCCTGGCTCCCCGACGCGCGGGACAAGAGTCCAATTCCGGTGCGGATGAGCCTGTGTTTAGCTTAGGTAGCACGTCATATGCCCCTTGGGAGGCAGGGATTGGTAGATCCCGACTTGCTGACGTTAAATATACTCCTCCTCCTCCTCCTCCCCCTTCGTCGGTGTTGTACGTATTTTCCGGCTTGATCCCTGCCACCTCCGGTATTTGCAGGCGCTCCCACCATTGCTTTATTTACTGCAGTAGTGGCCCCTTTTGACTCGTGCCGACTCCATGCGCCGGGCTCTGCTGACCCTGATCTCCGGATATCGCTGCGAAGAGGGATTAATCCAGCACTTCCCAAAGGCCGGTTGGGTGCCCTCCCGACGTAGGATCTCTTCCGCAAAAAGACGAACTTCTGCATGCGTTAGGGAGGCCTAAAGAGGCCTGTATGCATTGTCACGATCGGGGAAAGTAGGCTCCGCAGCCAGGCTCAATTGATGCTATGGACGAAAGACTATTCCGCGGCGCGTGCTCACGCGGATGCCTGCGGCGTGCGGTGGACTGTCCTGGACCGTCACATCCGGTACCGGCTGGGCAAGCCGAGGGGCTACATTATGCTAGATACCTCGCCGACATCGAGGAAAGCTGATGGAGGGAGGGGTCTCCCGTAACGCCTTTATTCTTGGTGAAATAAACAAGCCTCCTAATTCAATCTCTAGTGAAGCTCTCCCAGTGCCTTGGCCCACTTCTTGAATCCCACCCACAGAATCCATCTTCCGTATCGGTGCCTGGTCTGGATCCCTCGCGTGTGCCTGATTGCCTGTCTTGGTCGTCTCCAAGCCCGTTCTTGTCTGGCTATCCTCCCCGACGCCCTATTTCTTTCCTTTTCTTCCAGCTTCCGTCTCATTTTCTTGCGCAACTTCATCGCCGTTCCCAAATCTCTTTCTGCTATCTGCCATCTCAGTTTCCGCTCCGCGTAGCTAATTCTTTGTCTCATCCATATTTTGAACCGATAGTTCAATCGATTTTGCCCCATATTTGTTAGCAGCTTCGCTGCCCTCGCGGACCTTCGTCGAGCCGCGACAAATGTGGTGGTTTGAACACGATGCGCATGAAAAATAAGTTCCAGCGTTCTGTGAACCATTCTGAAGTGCTTCTCGAGAATTTCGTTGAAGGTTTTGTCGTGAGGGTGCGAGGGTTCATCGGTGGGAAGTGGCAACACCATGTCAACCGCCTCCAGCCACAGATCCCAAAAGCACATTGCCGAGTAGCCCTTAACCCTGCGAACATACACCGGTTTCCCACGATATTTCCAACGGGCTAGCCGGTACTCCTGGAGCATAGCTTCGAGATAGCGGGCCGAGTCCGAGTCCTCTTCGCGCATTTCGGACCGCTCAGACTCATCCGGGCAAATGCGGTGTTGCAGCCACGTTTGGTCCAAAGTTGGCGTTTGGCTTAGGCAGCAAGTGTGCGCCATCTCGAATCTTTCGAACAATTCTAGCCGGCAGGCTTGGAGGTAGTACTCCTCCTCCTCCATGCCTGATATCCCACACCACCGGGCCCATTTGTGCAGCGCTTCGTTCCTAGCTTGGAACAAGATCGCAGCGGGCACCTCTCTCTTACTGTAGTCCAGGGAGACATCCTTGTAGGTCGTAAGGGATGCTTTGAACATGTAATTCGGCAAGCATCCCCCGGGTGAGCAGCAGCCGCGGGAAGTGCATAACCTACGAGCTGAGCAGCCATAGCTGGATGAACAAAAGCAGACACAGCCATCGGTGACAGTTGCATCCGAGGCCTTGAGTACCGTTTTGGCTTGCTGGGAAGATTCCAAGCACGGATTTCTCTGCCAGGTCCTGATCTCTATCTGCGTCATCCCAATAGCGCCTGCGATGTGAAACTGAATGCCAGGATGGGTCCGGTTCTTCTCGACAATTTCGGCAGGAAAGGTTCTTTGTTCGCTGTGGTGGAGCAGCCAAAGAACGATGGACCAGGAATTGGAATCGGAACCGGAATGCTTGCGCAACTTGAATAGGACTGTTTCGCCGGATTCGTCTGGCGCATTTACGTCGTCGAAGCCAGCCCGGAGGAGAAAATCGAGACGTGCCCAGCTTTCAAAAGGCTCTGTCCATTGCCATCCGACGCCAAGCAAAAACTCGTACGTAGAAAATCTTGAATGGCAGTGGAAACTTTCCGGGATTTCGACCGCATGATATTTCCCCGTTATTGCTTCGTATACTTGCGCCGAATGCCGCACTAGAATCTTGCCTGGGAAGAGGCCAAATTCCGCGCATTGGTCGTGTTCTAGGATTTCCAATGCGAGGTTGTTCAGCATCCTGCGCCGGCTGGCCAGCTCAGTAACCGCCAAGGAGAAGATCGGGAGCCTAAACCGAAACGCCTCGACAAGGGCGAGGGGGTCTTTCTGGGGGGAGAATAGGGCCGTCGGTGTTCGGAGAATTTTGCGAACCGAATCGAGGTCCCCGCGACGGCAAGCCGGGTCAAGCGCTCCGCGAACATCGCAGCCTAGGCCGACCAGATATTCGAGACCCTCCGGCCACCCGAGAGCCATGCGAGCTGCAGACGAGTAACCGGAGTGCCTGTCCCACCTGTTGTTGTAGGGGAAAGTCTCTGTTAGGAGCCGATGTTTGCTGATCGACTGCAGGCGGCTCAGATCCTTTGTCGAGTGGCCCGCCATCAGGATAACGTTTAGCTCCGGCAGGTCTGCCTCAAGATCTACCCGTAGTTTTGTCAATCAGGGGAACGTCCTCACGATTAAAACCGGCGATTGGGCGGTTACTCACAGGCTCGGAGGTCGGGGTGTTTTTTAATATACACCCGGCGACGATAGGGGTTGGGTCTGGACCAGTCAAGGAGGGTAAAGGTTTCTAGGGCATCCAGACTTCGCATCGTATCGTATATTGGGTGCCAGTCACTTTCCGCCTGATCATCGATTTCATTCTCCCATGCACGGCACAACTCGTTGTTCCAGCCCTTTATTCTTTCCTCTAAAGGGTCCACGCCACGTTTGCATAGGAGGCGAATAAGCGAAAGTCCCTCGCGAATTGCGTGGCTGGCCACAGGCCCCATAGGAAAGTGCTCGGGTGTCATCAGCAAGCCGCCCACCAGTTTACTAAGTATTCCCCAGATCATCTGCCATTAAAGTTAGTTAACACCAGGAGATTTCGCAAAGCTGGCTTTCGGACTCACATCCCAAGTACATGGATGATATTCTTCGTCGTCTGTCTCTATGATCTCATAAACTGACGTTGGCCGTCTTCGTAGGTACTCTTCGAGGTGTTGGTAGTAATTACTGATTCGGTTCATTGCAACCTCGGCGGTAGTTAGGTTCCGTGGATGAGCGGGCTGTACGTGGAAACCATCGGGTTCTAGTAACCAGTCACAGACACCTTTGATTGACCTAAAAATTGATAAAGCTGGAGAGTCCGTAGCCCTAACCCTGGGTATGACCCTGATTGGAGGGGAGAGGGACCAGCCGCCTGCGCCGGATGTTGCGCCCAGCGTGAGCTCGACGGCCTTGTTGAGGAAAGGGGCGAGCATGAACGATACGGAGTAGCGCCACCAACTCGATTCGTTTCTTGGGCACTCGCGCGTGTGTTCTGAGCTCTCCGTCTCGTAGCGGAAGATTCCGCCCGCTGTGGAGCGGGTCGTGGTTGAGTGCCGGCATCGACAACGTGGTTTCCGGCGGCGGTACATGGGCTGGAGCACATCGCACGCCTCGGCGAGGGCGCTAGGGTAGCGTACAAGCTGCCGGGCTGCTTGCGGGCCCCAATGATTTTGAGCTTCGGGACCGGAATTCGGGAGGCTGGAGTGACTCGTCGCGACAAGGGCTGTCGAGATATGCGTCGAGCTAGGGGTTGAACCTGAGGCTTGTTGCGGGGCGCTGAGGGCCTTGTCTTGTCGAGGGGTGATAGAAAGAGCGAGGATAAAATCGAGTTTCTGGTGGACGCCTTCGAGACCAGATTCAAGATTGTCCTTTATCACCTCGACCGTGGCATTGGTAGCTCTAATATCGGGGACTATGACTTCTTCGGCTAGTTTGTGCGTGCGCACGGCAGTGTCTCTTGGAAAAGGGTGGCACAAAGAGCAAAGCGTGGCCGGAATTAGCGCCTGATGAGGCCGGGTGTCCTATGCGAGATGACACAACGAACCTTGTGAGAGCAAGCGAGTCTGCCACAATAACCAGAAGCACGCCCTTGACCTCCTGAGATAAGCGATCTATTCTCAGGAGATGTGTCCGCACCTCGTCACGCATTCGCAGGTAGCGGGCGCGATCCCAGGGCCGCTTGATCGCATCGCGCTTGCGCCCCCCGGTCCCGACATCGAGCGCCTCGAGCGTTGCGGCCAGGCTTTCGATGGCCTTTCTTAGCTCAGCAGCAGGGAGTGAAAGCCGGGCGTGCTGCTCTGGCGTGAGGTCGCCGGCAATGGTCAACCGGTCGCTGACGAGGCTCTCGACGAGCGTGAGATCTGAAATGATTTCGGCTACTTCCTTCGGGGCATCTGCAAGCTCTTGGAGAAGCTTCACCACGGTCAGGACCGACTTGGCGGCGCCAATGCAGAGCTGGATCCCAGCCGTCGCGGCGCCGAGGATAGCCAGCGGGTCAGCCATGACGGCGGCGTCTGAGTACTGGAAGCATGCCAGGGTCTGTTGGAATTGACGGGCGGAACATGAGGGGTGAAGAGAGGGAAATGGAAGAGATTCTGCGGGAAGGGCGGAGGGGTTGGGTGCCCAGGTTGGCAGCGCGGAGCCGGTGAGGGGGGAGTTGGGCAGGCGACGAATCAACGGCGCCGTGGACGGGTTTTTCTACTTCCCGCGTCCAGATTGGGTGCGGTGATTCGATAGCCAATGCGTCGATTGAGGCAGGGCAGCGGCCTATCTAGTTGTGCAGCACCTATTGGTCCTTGCAGCATGGTGGCGGGCAAGGAGTGGGTGGCATTCCCATCGGGGCTCAGGACAGGCTCATGCTATGGTGGAAACGTCTGGTGGGAGGCTCGGCACCCAATGTGCATGTTAGTGCGGTAACATAGGAGCTGCAATGCATGAGCCAAGGCGCCCGACACGGCTCATTAGTACACGCATGCACTGCGGCGGGCTCGTTTTGGTTGCCGTTGTTTGGCGTCCAGTCAATATCGCTGACAACGGGGCCCGATATCGTAAATGTCCGAGTCACAGCCACGGCTGTGGCCTTGAACGGGATCACGGTCGCCATGCTTGGCGAGCGGTTCTTGGTGCGACCTAAGTTCCCAGGCTTCCAAGCCCCGCCGAGCCAGGCCATATCGATGCTCCCATACCCCATCTTATTGTCCCTGCCCAGCACAGGAGTCCCACCAGCCGGGCTGATCATCTCGACTGAGGCTTTGGTAGCAACGCTGTAAAGGTAGATATCGGCGCTGCCCTGGATGTAGAAGAGCCTGTCCTGGCAGTCTTCGGTGACGTGACATGTCTGGGAATACTCTGAAAATCACGAGTACATGCCTCCTCCGTAAAAGTAAACCGACTGGGTATTGATAAAGCGCACGGCCCAGCAACGGCGCAGGTCTTGGACGACAGAGAGCAGCCTCTGAAGTCAGGGTCTTCCTGGAAATCAGAGGAGCCCTACCACGAAGGGCGCGGGTGCCCCAGGCGCTACCTGGTATTATGGTGCCTCGGTCAGACCATGCCCATAAACACGTTAGCGGCATCCAACAGCTGGTATTGGTATAAGACGCAGTGCTCGCTAGCGGTGCCGTAAAGCCAGACAGGCCCCGTGCTCTCGATCAGGACACCCCTCGCGACATAAATGTCCATCCGGGTCTGGGCCACGATCTCGAGATCGTGGTCCGCAACCCACCTACCAGGCGTTCTCGAAATAGCCCGGGGCCTTGGAGGTGATGTGGACCAGCATGGAGGCAGCCATGCACACTTGGGGTTGACAGCCCCTGTCAGCTTGGGGCAGTCGCTGGCCTGCAGCTCCGAGCTCTTGGCGCCGCCCACGCGGATGTGCATGTCCCACAGGGCAGCCGATCCGGGGAACGACTCGTGGATGTTCCACTCGAGAAGTACAGCGCCTGCGGTCGCGCTACGGACCGTAAACAGCAGGCCCTAGATCTCGATGATGCCGACATTTCCTGGGCTTGCAACCCTAACCACCGGCCGAGGCCTGCTGGCGTCGGCAAAGTTGGCCCCGGAGTCTATAATTTGCAACTACGCTTGGCCTATAACCCTGGCGTTTTTGGGCATTACAACGGTACCGGTAACGATATAGCTACCCGCTGGGATCCACAGGACCTTATTAGATGCGGCGGCCACAGCGAAGGCACGGTTTAGAGCAGCCGTGCTGCCGGTCGAACCGTCGCCTCGCGCGCTGTACGGGGCGTACAGGATGTTGATAAAGTCCGCGTACTGAAGGTCGTCGTACTGGGGCTTGGACCTCTCGAAGATGCCTGACGCCTGATCCCCGGGGCTCTTTAGTAGAGAGCCCATGATTTTTGGGACGCGGGGGTAGGCTGCACCGTCCTGCAAGGCTCTAGAAGCATCGCCGGTGGTAGTGTGGTAGCGCTTGCCTACGCCCCAAGCAGTGACGTCGGTAGTGCCGGCCGAGCCGGCTAGGAGCGTTGCGCCTTCATCGTACTTGACGACATTGAGCACGTTGGTCGTCTTGATGTTGAAGAGGCTCATGGTGATGGCCGCACTAGCTTGCCTGCCTTGCAGTTGGAATACGACGGCGCATTTGGTGATTTTGCTGTCAGTGATGATGGCCGAGCCGACCTCTGTTTTATCACCTCCTGTGCGAACAAGACTGCAACCGGGGCGCCGGATATATCAAGATCCTTCCAAGCCCAGCCCCAGTCCCAATGGATGTGGACGGCAAACTTCTGCGGGTTCGAAAACTTGAGGTTGCGGACGGTGAACTGCTGTTTCTCGACATATGCACCGATGGCGCCGCCTGTGAACTCCAGATCGCTCATCCAACCGCCGCTGCCGTTTTCCATAAAGATTCCCTGCGTCCAAGTTGTTAGTGGCGCCGATACGGTTAAGGGTGGAAACTTTGTCGACTCCTCTAACCTACCTGTTGGTTGTTCCCCGGGACCGTGGGCATGATGATCTTCACGTTCTGGAGCGACGTTGCTTGTGCTACCTGCCTTGGAGGGCGTTAGCGCCGGAGAGAAAGGAGCAAGCTCTTATATCTCCTACCAATGAATATCGGCAACGGGGCGCGTGCACGCGCCGGGGCGGGGCGCTCGACGTCGTCAAGCTCCTGGAGCGGTACGACGCGGACATCTCTCCGGGCGCCACGCACGACCGCCTGGGGAGAAACATGCTTCACGCCGCCGCGCTCAGCGCCGACGTGGCACTGGTCCAGTACGTGTTGGAATCGCAGCGCAATACCGAGTCAGAGGAGAGCCCGCTGGCGATAAGGGACAAGTCAGGCTGGACGGCGCTGCACTAGGCCCAGGGTTGGGAATTAAGTCATTTAAGTCACTCGTTAAGTCAGTAAAAAGTCACAGTTTAAAGCTTAATATTAAATTAACTATTACAGGTATAAGTATAAAAATACCACCATTAAATACAGAAAACTCAGTTTTATATAAATAATATTTAAAATATTTAATTACGTAATTATATATCACGTAATTTGCATTAAGTCATTTTCAACTTTTTTTTTGACTAATTGTGACTTAATGCATTTTTACCCGCTTATATACCATTTTTAGGTAATATAAACTTATAATATATTTTCTTTTGCTATTTGTTTATATAAATACGAAGAAATAAACGTTCTACCTATTTTTGTTGATTTTAGATTTTATTGCAAAGTTTGACTTAAAAAATGACTTAATGACTTAAT